ATTTAAAGATTAACCATGAGATTGTCATTGGCAACCGTTATTATTTATTTTTGTTATTTTTAAGTTTTTATTGTTTTAATCTTTTTTAAACAATGATTGTTGTCATGGAAATGCTCATTGAAAAAACAATACTGCATAAACCGAGCTATATTAAAATATATTAAGCTACTATATAAAACTTCGTTCAGAATTGTTTTTTCGTTAGCAATGGTTTATCGTTGCTCACAGATATACGTACACTAAATTCCCTTATTCTATATTCTACCTTACAAACTTAATAGTGTGTCGGTATTTTTTTTTTCTTTTTTTATAATTATACTAAAAAATGTACAAGTCTTTTGTATCTTTTGACAAATAAAAGATAATATACAAGAGACATTGCATAAACTAAAAGATACAAGGTTCAATATTGTGCCTTTGATACGTGCATTTATGATACTGTCCACAACCCTGAGTTATAGTAAATTGTTATTAGTAAAAGGCATCATGGGAAACGACTTAACAGTGTGGATTTCGATAATATAGGAACGTCTGTGAAAGCGTGAAAGTTTAGAACGACAATGTATAATGTGTTTATTATACAGTTCACGCGGTGACAGTTACTATCACTCTCACTACGCTATAGACGCTTTTAACATACAAATTTACCACCTCTTCAATTTCTATGAATACATTTTTTTTTGTTTTCTTATGATCCGCAATAATATTAGTTTACGATGTGAAATCTATGTTATTATGTAGTTTATTGAGTTACAATAGAATTTCCAGTGTTATAAATAGATTAGTAAAAGTATAAATACATACATATTATTGGGTTTAACATATAAAATAACAAAATGTCTAAAATACTATACGAGCTATTATCATAAATTTCAACAAAAAAAAAAAAAAAATTATGCTCGACTGCTCGTGTAGACAGACAGACATGAATGCGAGTTGATGTGCATAATATACATATAGGATATCCTTTTTCCACCATAAATTATTTAATTGCACAATATTATTTACAATTATAATTAATGTGTTTAAAAGTGAATTGACGGCTGGGCGGTGCATTCTGTTGCTATACATTTATAATGCGCTATTTCAAAGTTATGTTAAAATTATTCACAGTTCACAGACAGAAACAAAACGCGAAATTTCAAATAAAATATAGGTGCGTTATAATATTAGATAAATTATGTTTTATCGTTAAGTAAAATACAAAAATAAAAAAAAAATCTCGAGTATCATTTTAAAACGAAACATATTATTATAGTAGTGTTAAATTATTTCAAATATATAGTATTATTGTTTTCATTTATGAGCGCAATGTTGCAATTTTATACGCAACATCATAGTAGTAAAAAGTTAATTCTGCTCACGGGTAAACCAGTGTTTTGTAGGTGCACATAAATGGAAAGGTAGGATAAAAAAGTAAAGTATACAGGGTAATTTACCCCTTTTTTTTTTATTATTATTAATCAAACGAAACAATTGCATTAAATAAAATTACATTTAAAATACATTTTATGATTTATCTATCTTCTATTAGGCGGAGATAGATACGAGTAGTTATAATTTTATCAAATTAAACAGACGTATACAAAGTAAGTGAAATAAACGAACAGAGTTGTTAATCTTATAATGTTTTATATACCGTATATGCAATGATAAAAATCAATGAAAAAAAAAAAAAATAATAACGATTTTTAGCGGAGTAGTGTAAGTCGTGTTTTTTCCCATTAGAAAATCAACAAAAAGCCAAACCACAATAACAGACCTAGATGATCAATCGCTGACAATTTCTAAAAATACTTCAATTACAGTACCGACGGACAAAAATTTCTCATCTTTCGAGGTACGGCATGAAAACATCAAAGCGTTTTTACCATCCGAAAAAGTGTTTTCCGATAACTAACAAAAAAAAAAAAAAAATATACAAGAATAGTTTACGATTTTCTTTTTGTATCTGTTCGGACGATGGCGGTTTTNAAACGAAACAATTGCATTAAATAAAATTACATTTACAATACATTTTATGATTTATCTATCTTCTATTAGGCGGAGATAGATACGAGTAGTTATAATTTTATCAAATTAAACAGACGTATACAAAGTAAGTGAAATAAACGAACAGAGTTGTTAATCTTATAATGTTTTATATACCGTATATGCAATGATAAAAATCAATGAAAAAAAAAAAAAAAAAAACACTCAAACGTAAAACGAATCGCATTTTCACTACGCTCGGAATCCACAATAATTATAACAAACTGTATAAGTACGAATCGAATGAATATATAATGAACGCGAAATAAATGATATGAAAAAAAAAAAAAATATACAAGAATAGTTTACGATTTTCTTTTTGTATCTGTTCGGACGATGGCGGTTTTATGTTTTTGGTATAATGTCGTCGAGTGTTTGGTGAAGAAAACAATTTTGAAAAAAACGAAATTCGAATACGTGTGTCGTATTATATTTATGTATTTTTCGTAGTATAAAAAATGTTCTGCCGTCAACTTCCGAAACGATAAATACATGTATTATTTTTTTTTTGTTTTTGTCGCAATATATTTGACGAAAAAAAAAAATTAAAAAAATAAATATATGTATTATAATCGACTGCGGACGTTCGACTGTTACCGCGTCGAACTTCCCCGTCACCTCGATAAATACAACACTTGCGTAATAAAAGTGCGAATGCGCCGTCTGTTGGTTCGTTAAGAGAGAAAAATGGGCCTGGCTGCGAAGGAGTGGGGCGCGGCGTTTCGTTGACATCCCCTCGTCGGCGAGTGGCGGCCGCCGGTGGCGGCGGCGGTGCAGAGGCTCGGGCGCCCGCGTTTTTTTTTTATTATTATTATTTTTTTTTTTTTCTAATTAGTCCGCCCGGCGTTTTGACGCGCGGCCATCATTCACACGGCGGCGGCGGCGGCGGCGGACGAAAACACCGGGTATTAAAAAAAATGAAAAAAAAAAACCTTCCGCGCCCCGTATCCGTGTCGCGTTTATATATCCGCCTGTATGCGGCTCGTGCGTGACGTCCTATACCCCCTAACCTGTACCGCGAAAACGTTGTTCGGACGTGTTTCGGCAATGCCGCAATTTCCAGCGGCCCGGTCGCTGTGGTTTAGCGCACAAACCGTTTGTCGGACGATAACCGAACGCGCTTTTCGATAACCCACCGGCAACAAACAAAAAAAAAGCGTACCTGCCTAACCCATTCGCCGAAATCGCACGGTAGGTGACAAATTTCGTTTTCAATTTTTTATTATTTTTTTTTTTTTCGGCGCTTCCCAAACACGAAACGATAATCGGTTTCAAACCGCCAACGTCCGATCGGATACGCGGAAATTATGCGGAACGCACAGCGACCTCGGTTCGGGATATTATGACAACACAGTTGTCGAAATAGGCCATGGTATACCACCCCCTAATCCGAACACTCGCCGGCGCTGCGCGCGGAACAGCGTTTTACTGTTTTTCATTCGTGGACTAGTGTTTTTTCATACCAATCAACATTGTCTCGGTACTATCCGTGAAACGCCTGTCCAGCGGGTCCGGCCGTGAACGCGCAGTCTATGGGACACGACCGCGGCTCCGTCAACTCGCGTACCAGCCCGTCTTGTACGGAGTGTCCCGCCAAAGGTGTACCCGTTGTAATATCTCCGCAGGAGAACACAGATTTTGGTTTTTATATTACACACAGCTGGATAAGGACTAAAAATATTTATATTGCAATTAGATTTTTTATGCTTTAAAAAAAAAAAAAAAAAAATGAAAAAACAACTTTTTATTTAATTTTTTTTTTTTTTGACGACCATTTTATTGAGTTTATTCTTCTGGTGTATCGACTCTTTATTTACATTAAATTTGTGATTTGAATTTTAGAGAAAAGAAGTGCGTACAGTCAATTAATCGTTACAATAATAATAATAATCAATTAGAGAATGCGATTACAGTCTGCTGCATAATTATTATCGGTAATTTTCTCAGAACTTCAGAAAAAAAAAAACTAATAATCACAAATCTAATGAAAATAAAAAGTTGATACACAAACATTTTTAAAAAACTAATAAAATAAAAAGTTATTTTTTCAAATTTTTTATCAAAACACCAGAAAATTAATTGCAATGGAAATCTTAGTAGTCTTTATCCATGTAAGTATTATAAAAAAAAAAAAAAAACAGAATTTGATTATCTTTATTATCTCCGGAGATATAACAACGGGTATATCTACGTGGGAACACCCTGTATATAATTATAATAATATAGGTGCATGATATATGAGCACTCGTATGTTATATGATATTCCCGATCAGAAAGTCAACGGGTTAACGAGTAGTCTGGAAACAAAACTCGGACGTTCCGGAAAAAACGGGAAAACGCGTTAGAGTCGCTGTTTTATAGAACTTCCGAAGGCGAAACTTACTATACTCTGCGTTCGCTTCGTTTCGTAACTCCCGAGAACGAAATCAACATTTAACCGGAAATGAACGGTCTTGTGTCAACATTAACGAGTTCCGTTGGATCATGCGCGATCGTCGATACCGGGACCCTGCGTTTTAAATAACCCGTGTCGAAAATCACACGGCCCGAACTTTAATATCGGAAAAAAAAAAAAAGGAATTCGCAATAGACATACATGGATGTGCCCGACGAATCGTAACTTTCAACGTACATTTTTTAGTTCACATTACATGAAAAAAAATACGCATTTCGGATTTTGTTATTGTACCGGAAAACTCTTTCCCGGTTTTTTTTTTTTTCCGTTTTCTGAAAAATGTGATTTTCGGTACATTCGGGTCTCGGTTCTGTATAGCTAGGACGAAAATCACGAAGGGAAGCGCATATACGGTGGCGGCGGCTGTGGCGACGGGGACAAGATAGGACCCGAGTAATGGCAGGGGAGGGTAAAAACGCTACAATATTTATTTTTAAAAGGAACTTTATACACATATATATGTATGTAAGAAGGTTTTGTGTGTGTGCCCGAGACAGAAGAAAAACGTAATAATATATACCGACGACGACGACGACGACGACGACGACGGTCGCACATTCTGACAAACGGTCCATCGTGCTCCGGATAATATATTGTCGTCGTCGTCGTCGTCGTCCTCTACGGTCTTCGGACGTTATTATTATTATTTCTACACACACGCACGCGCACACACACACACACACACACACACACACACACACACGAGATTGTATAGCATAGTTTAGTTTGTGTATATAGGTATATACACGTGGCAGTTTGGTAAGTATACATGTATATATATATATATATATATATGTATGAAGATGGCGACCGGAGAGGAAAAGCATATTTTCATGTGGAAATTCTCCTCGCCGAGAGACCGACGGTTTCCAAAAATTTCCCACATGTTTTTATTACATATATATATATATATATATATATATATATAAGTACACGCACATACGCACACACACACACACACACACACACATACATATTATACTCGTATAGTGCCCTCGGGGGTATACTCGCATAGGTATGACATGTATACTACAGGGTGATTCATTTATTGCGTGTGGACCAGTCGACCGGCGTTTATTTCCCCTAGCCAGAGTGGGCAGTATTCGAGCCGAACGTACCTACATATAATATTGTTACACGTACTACTTCTGGGGAAAAAAAAAAAAAACCGCGTAGTCAGACGATTCAATTCCGTCATAATATTTATCACGAAGACATTATACTATAATACGTTACTGTTGTGAATGTTTGATAACGGCAACGCTAATGGCCATTTGCGGTTCGACACACGCATTTTCGGATAACGCGTAGAATGGACGGACGCGCATGAACGTATTTTTAGTAAACGACAATTGTTGTTCGTTTCGAACGGGAGTTTTAAGTCGATTTAGGACGCTTTTCGAGAATCTACGCGCGTAGCCGACGTACCGCGTTTATTGCGGAATAAATGTAAAATTTCGCAAACACCGCGAACAGGCCCATTAAAAAACGGTCGTGTAAATCACGCGTCTATCATCTGTGCATCTATCATAATATGCGCGAGAAAAACCGAAATATCCGTATGGCCGCGGATAATCGCTGGTTTACGGTAAAAGAATCCACCCTGTAGATACGTGTCCTCCGGCGTATACCCATATTATGTACGACATGATGTATAATATATACGAGAGTACGATGTTCGTATACCCCGGACGGGCACTCGACCGTATAACGCGTACGTCCAGAGAACGTGTAGACGGTATTTTTTTTTTATTTTATATTTTTATTTTTTTTACATATTTTTTTTCTATACTTCACGTATTATTGGTCAATATTTCAACCTCGTCTCGTATTGTCTCTCCGTAACCGTAATTTCGAATATTGTCGAAAACAAAGCGTACGTTAAAATATTATTATTGTTATAATAGGTAGGCTGCGAAATGTCGATACCGTTTTCATCGTGGGTACGGGTGGCCGTAACTTCGCGGACGTCTGAACCGCCTTAGAAAAACAGCGTTCAAAATCCGCAAAATCCGAAAAAGTGTGTAATGTTTTTTTGTTTTTTTTTTTTTGAAACTCCGCGTATCATGTAAACTATAAATATGTATAATTATCAATATTACGTGTACATTGTAATCGGTGAAGAACGATTGAGCAAAATGTGCGCAAATCGTGTATATTTCAATAGCCATCGAAATACAAACACGATTGCGCAAGATTTTAAATGCAACGTTGCCATGTATAAATAAATATATTACTATAACATCATAGATTACAAAACCGCGTTCTGTGTGAAAACCACAATTATTATCAACGGGCGTCTTAAAATACGTAACCGTAATAATTTATTTCATTTACCGTTGTTATGTCGTACAACTGGGCTCGTATAACTGATACGTTGCGGCAACGTTGCATTTAAAACCTTGCGCGATCGCGTATGTATTTCGATGGCTATTGAAATATACACGACTGCGCAAGTTTCGCTCAATCGTGTTGCGGCCATTGTAATCATGGTGTACAATTATTGTGGACAAACGGAAACAAAAACCCGAACCTTGGACGGCGTCAAGAAAAGAAGAGAGAAAGAAAAAAGTAAATATAAACGTGTCGCACAATTCGAACTTTGTATACCAAGAATAATATTGTGTTACGGCGCAATAACCCGGAATAAAAAAAAAAAAAAAAAAAAAAATAAAACGAATATTTCGGAATACCTACGGTTTAAATATCGTTTCGTTTGCGAACATTTTATTATTTTTTTTAAAACACCGCAATAAATGAATGCTTATATTGCCTATATATATATAATACGACCGTTCACGAAACATAATTATATGTGTATATAGCGACGGCAGCGGTACGGTTGTAGTGTATTTGTATAATATATATTTTATACTTACGACGATACTTTTAGAATTAATGCAATTTTAAATGCATATTTACGACTTCGAAAAAACAAAAAAAAAAAAAAAAAAAAAAAAAAAAAACAGCGTTTCAACACCGTGTTATTCCCACAACTCGTTCGTATAAACACATACAAAAACAATATAATAATATGCGCTTGTACATTATACATTATTTACTTGATAGATTTTTAACGACTCGGTTATAATATTGTACATAGGTACCGGTATGGGTATATAGGTATACGCGGACGGCCGGACAACAAACATTTCCCACGTAATGTCCACCGTCGTGTCTGCCGTACATTATTATCAACTCTCGGTTAATGCAAACCGTGTTCGATAATATTGTGCGTGTGTTATTACGTGTAGTTTTACGCGCGGAAAAAAAAAAACAAAACACTTTTTGCGCATGGGTCGGCCCCGTTTTTACGCGCCAAATATTGACGATTCCGTATCGAAGGGCACATCGCGACGCACCCCGTCCGTTAAAACACATTTGACGCGCATCGCTGCTGTATGGCAATCGTTACGGATTTGACCGTAATCCTAGCGCACCGCTCGTGTAACCGAATAAATATCGTGGTCGCTAAACACGTACGAAAGAGCTGTTTATTTTCCGGAAGCCCGATAACGTTTCGTCCACGCCGGTGGCGCCGAAGTAGTTTACTAATACGGCGAACAAGGCAACGCGCTGTATACTATACTGGTCTTTTTTTTTAGTGTAACACTCATAGTACGTTTTCCACCACTGACATTACCCAGCCCCCACCGTCAAAAGATTTGATCGGACGGTCGCCCGACCTGTACGCCAAGTTCGGCGCCGCCGGTCCAAACAATATTGTCAAGTCACAATTGGACATCGTTAAGTCGGTCCGAATACGATAGCGCCGCGTAATAACCGTGACTGCAACAGCAGTCGTACCTTTGTACGACTTCCGATTTTTTTTTTAACTGTCAAAACAGTCGCTGTCTTTTCGCGCGCACAAAACCAGTGACTGCTAAAGCAGTCGCTGTCCGTCAACGTGTTAAGTACCCGCGACGATGAAACACCGTCGCGTAAATAAAGAATTTATCCAATTTTCCTTTATTCAAAGAAAAACTTATTCGAGTTTTACTACGTTTAAGTGTAAAATACGTAATATAATTAAATTAAAAAATGTTAACATTTTTTTTTTTTACGCATAATAAATACTTATTAAACACTTATCGATCGTAAATCTACAAAAAAAAATATAAAGTATACTATAAAATATAAAAGTGTACTATTTTTTTTTTTATATATAGAGTGAGAAGGGATCCTCGGAAACTGGTGGCTCTGTGCTTGTGCACCGCGTGCACATGCGTTCGATTCATATGAAAACTTTATTAACTGTATAAACAGAAAAACTTACAGCCCGTTGAGTCACTAATGAATTACTGAAACAAACCAAAGCGCCGATACAATTCTAACGCGGAGTTTGTGAACAATACCAATATTGACACGATAAAACACGTCTTCGCAGTATATTGGGGGGGCCTTAAAAGTGACATTGCATTCGTGTTGATGGAACCGTGCATTTGGTGGATATAAAAGCTCAGAGTATTTTAATTTTTTAAGAACCCCTTGTTAAATAGTGTTAGTTTACGGTTTTGGGAACCAGTTCAAAGGTCGTTTATACGGGTATTTACCCGAAATTGCGAATGCATATCTCGAATAACGCCTTCAGGATACAGGGGTCCTTTTACTTACCGGCGAGTCGGATTAATTTCGTCAAAAATACCTCGATAACAAAGAATGATGTCCGTAGCCACTAACAGCTAATAATTCCGACACAGTTTAAAATACTATAAAAATACTATAAATACTGTAAAAAAAATATACCGAATGTCGTTTATTCAAATGGACACAAAATGCGAATATTAAATATATATTTAAATATGACTCGCGGGAATAAATCGACCAAATGAACACAAGATGTACCTAATTTAACTTTTTAGTAATTTTAAAAGCTAATCCTACACTCAAAATCCGTGTATACACATAGCAGACAAATTACGTATTTTATTAATCGACGATTGAAATTATTACCCTATAGTATTATAATATAGTATGGTTACTATGGTCTTTTTCAAAATTTCCATCAATAGGTATTGTTTAGAAATTTATTTGTCAGTTCCTAACGTATTGAAGTATGTATTACACGTATATTTTACTATATCAAGTGTGCTTTTCAATTCGCCTTTTTTGTCTTTAAACAACTTTTCGACTTTGGAAGACTCGTCCCAATCACGTCAATATCAGGAGTGGTTTCCGGTAGCAAATTTCGTTTATGTCGGGAGTATTTATTTTGAGAGGTCATTTTGCGATATTCTTTGTACTTTTTTTAACAACGTGGGAAAGCAGCGACAGTCGGCGGAAAAATTAGAATATTAATCTACGCTGCTTATATCGCAACGTTTCTGTTAAAATCGATGTTGGTATTTTTTTTTTTTTTTCGTTATCTGTGTTTGTTATAAGTGTTTTGCCCGGCTATAAATAACCGGTGTTTTGTGCGTGCAAATAATATTATATAATTTTAGTGGGCTTTTTTTTTTTTTTTGCTCTTTTCAAAGATATGCGCACAAGCTGCGCTTGACATATTTTATAATATAGTACATAATGTTTAGTAAATCAGTCGGCTTTATAAAAATTATGACGTTTATACTTTGAATGAAAATATTATATACTCGGTTAGAGTGACGCAAAAGTTTCTTCGTGT